GAATCCACGGCTGCCGAAACGCCCTGTCGTTAACAGCCCTGCTTCGGTCTTGAAGACCGAGGAGGGCCACCGCTCCCTTTACTGAGTCAGTCCACCTCAGGTTGGGTTTCCCTCTTTTCTGGCTGCCTCCAGCTTTTCCTAGCATTATTGTCTTTTCTCATCAGACTCTTCTGATGATCCAACCAAAGTACAATAGCCTCAGTTTAGTCATTTTAGCTTTAGCAGAAGTTACTGGTCCACACAAAAAGAAAATCTCTAGCCAGTATGTCCACTTGCTCTGACCTAGTTAGCCCAGTCCCATCAGATCTCAGACACGAAGAAGGATCCGCCCTGATCAGATGTGGCAAGTACTGGTTAGACCACCAAGGAAGTCCGGGGTTGCTACGCAGAGGCAGGCAACGGCAAGCCCCCTCTGTTCATCTCTTCCCTTGAAAACCCTACAGGGTCGCCATGAATCAGCTACCACTTAATGGCACTTTCCACCACCATACTATGAGTCAACCACCTAAAAGCCAAGAAAAGAAGAGGGAAGGGATTGGATTTATACCCTGCCCTTCACTACCCAAAGGAGTCTCAGAGCAGCTTACAATCTCCTTTCCCTTCCACTCCCCACCACAGACACCCTGTGAGCAATGTTCCCTCTAAGCTGTGGAGTCTTGTGAGCAAAAATTCTACTTGGTGAGCTATTGGCATTAAAGTTTTGAGCGAGCGATTTGGCTGCTGCATAACTTAGTTTGCTCTGGCGCCATCCTTCCTGAGCTACGACAAAAATGTGTGAGCCGGAGGCTAAAAAACTGTGAGCTAGCTCACACTAACTCAGTTTAGAGGGAACACTGCCTGTGAGGTAGGCGGGGCTGAGAGAGCTCTGGCAGGAACTGTCCTTGAGAGAACACCTCTGACAGAACTGTGGCTTGCCCAAGGTCACACCAGCAGCTGCCTGGTGGAGGAGTGGGGAGTCAAATCCAGTTCTCCCAGATTAGAGTCCACACTCCTAACCACTACACCAAACTGGCTCTCTTCCAAATTCTTCTCTACTGGGGCACCTAGAAGTTTCCCTCTTACCACAAAGGACCAGACAAGTAGTTATTCACATGCCTGTGTTAACGGATGGAGTCATACAAGGCCAGGCAGGTAATAAGTTCAACAACAGTGGGAAGCAGAGCAACCTTTGAGTCCAGTGGGGCACCTGGAAGACCAAGAAAATTTAATCCTGGGGATAAGCGTTCGTGTGCATGCACACGTCTTCAGATACATAGCGTTTCCTTTTGTGTGTCCCAAATCCACTGCCCATCTGTTTCGTCGGATGCCCTGGAGTTCTAGTATTTTGGCCGGAGGAAAAACAACCGATTTTTCTGCCTCGGAGCCGAAGGGAACAGGGCAGGTTGAGCGTTTGTAAACCCTAGAAATGGCACCGGCAAGACCTTCCCCGATCCTGTCAAGAGAGGTGTCACTGCCATGAATTGGGCTCCTTGGGCCCTGTCGAACATCCCGAAACGGCTGAGGCGCCAGCCCTGAAGATGCGGCCCAGCGATATTGGCACCGCTCTTCAGTTATCTCAGCCACAACCACAAGACAAGAAGTCGAACGGATGATATCATTCTTATCAGCTCCATTCATGAGGCTGCCTGGTACTGAAGCCACTGGGGATATGCCCGCTTGAACCGGAGACCTTCTGCACGCAGAGCAAAAGCTCTGTCATCACTGAATCATTACGGCCCCGCTCCTGAAGTTAGAAGCTCTTCCTGACTAATTTCACAAATGTAATCTAGCACTTCTTTCCCCCCCACTGTAAGCAGAGAGGATTAGCTTTATCAAAAGCATGCCTTTTTTCCACATGCAGAAAGGCACACACTGAAGAAAGCTCGCCATAAATCAATTATTTTGGCTCAGACTGCTGGGTGGAGTTAACTTCTCAAGCCTTTGTCGAGTCGACAGTATTTGTTCGAGCAAAAATGGATTGCATTCCTAAAACCGAGTTTCTAACTTTAGAAACTGAAAAGGCCAAAGACGTCTTGCATTACAGCTCTGCCTGTCCTCCCATTTATTTGAAATTAGGGATTGCCTATAAAAGGTTAATTTCCTGGGATGCCACTCTGTGTCATTAAGCACAAGACTGGCAGTTGAATTAAGTGGGTGCTTCATTGTTCTGCGTGGCTGATTTCCTTACATTTAATTGGATGTTTTCAGAAGGCCACTGCTAGGAAAGGTATGTTCCGAGGGAATAAAGTCTGCTGGTATAAGTAGCTAGGGTTGAGTCCACGAGCACCTTAGAGCAACAAAACCAACAAGATGTTTGGGGTGTGAGCTTTTGTCCTGAAAATCTAGTTGGGTCTCTAAGGGGCTGCTGGACTCGAATCCAGACCTTCTCCTGCAGACGAACACAGCTGCCCACTGAAGCTATGCTCATACCAAGAGGCTCCCGCACATTAATCAGGACTTTCCCATTTATTAAAGTCAGAGAAGTTTTTCTCTTGACTATTTCCTAGGACAATAGTTCCCAGAATAATGCAATTTGGTTATGCAACGAATCAGGCGGATTGAGGTAAGCCCGAGATACATTTTGTGCAAAACGCAGAAGGGTTGGAGCCCGCAGCACAACCAAAGTCTTACCCGTAGGCTCTGCGCACTATAAATAGATTTCCTGTCCTTGGGCCGGGCCTGAGGTTTACGGAAGGCATGCTTGCCCCCTAGTGGCGACAGCCTACAACAGCCCCAAAGATTTTTCAGTCGACTGAAACTTGAGTTTAGGGATGTGCATTCGGCATTTCCGAGTGTCTAGGAGCAAATGTGCAGAGGCACACATATTCTCTCCTTTTCCATTTCTATTTCCTTTGCCGTGATGGTCTGAACTTTCTCAGTCCTGTCATTCTAAAGTGAGCCGTTTTGGATGAATTTGCGGCCCTTCACAGAGCTTCTCTCTTCCCAAACATTACCATAATAAAGTTCATATATAAAGCACATCACTTGCTCTTGGTAGCATTCCGGGGACCTGCTGCAAGGAGTAGGGCAGCTTCTGAGACAGTGGCAAAGGGTGGCTACTTTTATGCCCACGTGCTTTGCAGTGGCTCAGTCTTTGCGCAAGCGTACAAGTTCTAGTTTTTAAAAGCACGTGGACCGTCATATTCAGCTGTGAATGTATCATACGTAAATGTCCCCTTTTCAAATAGGTCTCAGTTATTCTAAGTTGGACCCGATCCCCGGCAAGTAGAGCTGCTCTCATAGAACAGAACACCTCTTCTTTCCTGCTGTACTCCCCCAAAATCCAACTCCCGGAAATTGGGAGGCCTTTGGGAACAGGGTGGCAGCTTGCAGGGGGTGGGAAGCGGCATTCAGGGAACCTGCCAAAACCTTGCCAAGTGCAGCTTGCACAGGCTGAATAAGGAGGCACAGCATCCAACCCAATTTCTGTTTGTCCTTTGAGTTGCCTCTGACAGGTCTTTTTCTCCGTGCACATTGGGACTTCTCTCGGGTTGCCAGCACTAGCCTGTGAAATTCCTGGAGATTTGGAGGCAGCACTGGGGAGGGGGGGCAGTTTGCAGGTCAGGAAGCAATTTTTCTCCAAGCCAGTGGGAAGTCTTCTGGAGTTCTGGCCCCACTGGGGGAACCTCCCAATGGCACCTGGGTTTTGACCCCTCTGTGCGAGTGTTGGACTGGATGGCCAGATGACCAAAAAAAACCCCAAGTCACTGGGGAGTGTTATTTGTGAATTTACTGCATTGTGCAGGGGCTTTGACTAGATGACCCTGGAGGTCCCTTCCAACTCTATGATTCTAGGCCAATAGCCATCTAGTCCAACCCTCTGTATCACACAGGGGCCAAAACCCAGGGGCCATCAGATGATCCACCAAAAGAGCCAGGACACTAGAAGCCCTCCCACTGTTGCCCCCCCAGCACCAAAAATACAGAGAGTGTTCCACTGTTGGACCACTGCTCCATGTTTATTCAGTCCCCTCCTGAAGCTGTCTATGCTTGTAGCCGCCGCCACTTCCCGCAGCAGTGCATTCTACTTGCTCTCTGTGGTTTGGAGATTAGGTACTACTCCAGGAGAACTTCAGGCCCCACATGGATGCTGGCAACCCTAGACTTAGGCAACAGCCCAGCTGTGTGCTTCTGGGCACTCCTTTGTTGCACACAGCTAGGGGACATCGACCACACGTGCTTTTCAGTCTTCCTGTCAAGAAGCCACTCATCCCGGCTCAGACAGAAGAACAAGCTCCCTCTTCCCCTCGTCTGCTAGCCACACAGGAGAGCTTTCTTCTCTCTTAAATGAAATGTGCCCTAGAGTGTTGCAACAGAGACAACTCCGGCTATTTTTTAAAATATATTTTGCTCACCCCGTTATTACCAACTCCTCCTCCTGCTGCGTGATGAAGATGAAGACTGTATCTCTCCCTCTGTGCATCATTGTGACAGGTTATCATTACCTCCTGGCCCCTCTCTCTGTTTATGTACATAAATGGAAGGAGGGTAAAACAAGGCCCTCTTTTCTGTCATTTAAATTGCCCGGATTCCCTTCACACATTCTTTACTTAGAAGAAGGATTGGATTTATACCCCATCCTTCACTACCCGAAGGAGTCTCAGAGCAGCTTACAATCTCCTTTCCCTTCCCCACCCCACAACAGACACCCGGTGAGGTAGGCGGGGCTGAGAGAGCTCTGATTGAGAACTGTCCTTGAGAGAACAGCTCTGACAGAACTATGGCTTGCCCAAGGTCACACCAGCAGCTGCAAGTGGAGGAGTGGAGAACCCAGTTCTCCCAGATTAGAGTCCACGCACTTAACCACTACACCAAACTGAATTACTGTGAAATTTGGCTTGCAGACAAACATAATTCCAATCTCTTCTTCTTCTTCTCTCCTATGTGACTTTTAAAAATAAAGTGACTGTCAATAACCTGGCTCACAAAAAAGAAGAAGATACAAAATGATACGGGATCAAAGATACACAGTAGAAAACATTTAATACAATTCTCAAATGTAATCATAAAAAAGAGTGGAAAAACAGGAGTCGTAGCAGGAATTAAACAAAACAGTATATACAATGGCAAGGAAGAACAATTGCTCAGTCACACAATATTTCATGCATAAGTTACACTGGGGATCATTGTTGTTTGAAAAAACAAAAACGCTCGGTGACCTGAATGGTCCTTGCCCCAAATTTTTATCAGTCCTTTCTGAGAAGCCCAAAGGATCATGCCAAATGACAAGCATCCCAACAATATAATTCCACGAAGGGTTTTATATACATAAGGCAATATGGAGGAGGAAAGCAAATGTCAAACACAATCTGAAAGTTTGGCTCTTTCTTCAAATTGCTTGTCCACCACCAGTGACAGAGCCTGAAGGAATGCGGCCATTGCAACATTCGGAGTCTAGAAGGAAAGAGAGGGAAAAATAAAATCAGCAACAGAAATGGTGCCCCTACAGCTCCGGAAAAAGAGCACTCGGTCCCACAATACGGGTATTTTCAGAGTAAATGCATGGAGGCTATTCAAACAGTACAATGCTGAGAAAACTGTTTACATTAAAGGGACAAAACCTGAACACACAGGAAAAGCCTGAACTAGACCCACAAGGAGAGCCAGTTTGGTGTACACCTACAGCTCCGGACAAAGAGCACTCGGTCCCACAATACGGGTATTTTCAGAGTAAATGCATGGAGGCTATTTAAACAGTACAATGCTGAGAAAACTGTTTACATTAAAGGGACAAAACCTGAACACACAGGAAAAGCCTGAACTAGACCCACAAGGAGAGCCAGTTTGGTGTAATCAGTGTTCCCTCTAAGCTGAGTTAGTGTGAGCTAGCTCAGTTTTTTAGCCTCTGAGTCACACATTTTTATCTCAGTTCAGGAAAGACGGCTCCAGAGCAAACTAATTTATGCAGAAGCCAACTCGCTCGCTCACAGCTTTAAGGCCAGCCGCTCACAAAGTAGAATTTTTGCTCACAAGACTCCACAGCTTAGAGGGAACACTGGTAGTGGTTAAGTGCGCGGACTCTAATCTGGGAGAACCGGGTTTGATTCCCCACTCCTCCACTTGCAGCTGCTGGATGACCTTGGGCAAGCCATAGTTCTGATAAGAGCTGTTCTCTCAAGGGCAGTTCTTGAAAGAGCTCTCTCAGCCCCACCTACCTCACAGGGTGTCTGTTGTGGGGAGGGGAAGGGAAAGGAGATTTGTAAGCCGCTCTGAGACTCCGAGTGAAGGGCGGGGCATAAATCCAATCTCTTCTTCTTCCTCTTCTCTTCTAGCTGTTGTGCATTCATGGCCTTTGCTGAGATGTACTCCTTATCACCTATGCCGCAGTCCATGGCCAGGCCAAAGGAAGGCAGCAAGGGCACACGTTTGTTTTGTACTTCATTTACACCCCACCTTTTTCTTCAGTGGGGAGCCAAACCAGCTTCTATCATTCTAGGACCACAGCTTAGCGGAAGAGCCTCTGCTTGGTGTGCAGAAGGTCCCAAGTTCAATCCCAGATCTCCGGTTTAAAAGGACCAGGTAGCAGGTGATATGAAAGCCTTCTGCCAGAGACTTTGAAGGAAGCCAGTCTGAGTAGACAGCGCTGACCCTGACAACCGATCTGATATAAAGCCACTTCAGACATCCATATATGTTCTCCTCTGTTTTATCTTCACAACAACCCTGTGACGTAGGCTAGGAAGGAATGTGTGACTGTCCAAAGGTCAGTCAGCAAGATTCCCTAGCAGAGTGGGATTCAAACCTGGGACTCTAATCACTACACCAAGTTGGCTCTCACCTATCGCCCCAGTAACAGAAGGAGTGGTCCAAAAACAAAGGGGGCATAACCTTACTTGAACGTAAAGCGCGTGGGCTAGGAAAGGAAGTTTCCGTAAGACGCGGCCACTGAGTCCTTCACTTTTCCTGTATCGGAGGAGAAAAGTTTAAGATGTTGGGGGTCACTGTCGAATGGAAAGATATAAGGAAGCCTCAACGGAGCCACACTGGCTGTACACGGCGAAAGTATGTCTCACAGTTTTGATTTCTACTTCTTATTCTGTTCTAGCAGAGCAATACCAACCAAATATCCAGCTCTGGTGTTCTCGAAAACAACAGATAAGGTAGCAAACTTATACTTGAGTTGGATTTATTATCACCAGGGCTCTTTTTGTAGAAAAAGCCCAGCAGGAACTCATTAGCATAATAGGCCACACCCAACAGGAGAAACTCATTAGCCTATTCGGCCACACCCCTGACAGCAAGCTCATTAGCCTATTAGGCCACACCCCCATGTTACCAGAAGTGTGGCCATCCAGCCACACCCACTTTTTGCTTCTTATTCTGTTTACCTTGTTTGCTGTCAAAACCCAGGGCTTTTTTGGAGCAGGAACTCCTTTGCATGTTAGGCCACACACCGCTAATGTAGCCAATCCTAATGAGTTTCTGCTGTTGGGTGTCGCCTATTATGCTAATGAGTTCCTGCTGGGCGTGGCCAACTCGGGAGCCAGCCAGAACTCCATTCCTGTGCGTTCCTGCCCCAAAATAGCCCTGATTATCACTACATCATTGACTCTTCCATTAGGTAAAAAAATCCCTATACACAGAAAACTAGCATGTTAGAGAGCAAGGCTCTAAGCCAAGCCTTCTCCATGACATGCTAGATTTCTATGTAAAGAGATCTCCCCTAGGACGAGAGAGCCCAGTTTTAGACAGAAGAAAGGAACACTAAAACACATTACCTTTTGGTTCTCAAGTAGAAGGGGGGAAAAAAAAACCCAGCCTCTTCAGTTGAGGCTTTTGAGACCCTCTGTTATTACCCTGTTTCCCCGAAAATAAGACCTACCCAAAAATAAGCCCTAGCAGGATTTCTATGCATTTGTGGTATAAGCCCTAGTGTGGATTTCTTTCCAAAAATAAGCCCTAGCAGGATTTCTATGCATTTGTGGTATAAGCCCTAGTGTGTCTTCTTGAGAAAAAATAAATATAAGACAGTGTCTTATTTTCAGGGAAACACTGTAGAAGCCTGACAATTTCTTATGATATCCCCAAAGCACTGGGCATAATCAGTTATCATCTAAATACATCAACACCCAACAGAGGAGAATTTTTCATTTTGGACTGGATTCTGTAAACACGTGATTTCGGTTTCAGGAGACAGAGACGGATTGATGAATTTCAGGAGTCCTACCTTGCAATTTCTTTCAAAACGAGACTCAGTTTGGACACGTCGTTCTCTACGTAACCAATCACCTCTAACTCACGGAGTGTCAGCAGCTGCTGTCGAGGGTAGATGATCTGACACTGGGGGGTGGGTGGGGAGATCTCATTAGTAAGAACAGTAAAAAGCAGCTCTACAGAAATAGATTCAAAAATCTGTCCTGTTCATTTGTTGCATTCTGAATGCTGATCCGG